TGAACTGGAAATGGCTTTATAAAACTTACACCAGGATTCTGTGGCGATTCGTAGGGCGCTCCCTTCTGTAAAATCTTGAAATGATTGAAGTCCAAATTATACATATCTTCACATCCATGCTTTATACCAAGGGATGCAAAAACTATGATTTTCCTAACGGTATGAGACTGAGCGTTTTTCAGAAACAGCTCTTTCGACTTAAGTATTCTCGTGACTTCTTTTGGACAAAATGGCATCTTTTGAGACTTTATCTGCATCGATAACTTCATGTTTATTCTTTCTTTTTCTATTGTGTCCCCATGACCAACTGCGTAATTTCCTATGCACAATGAATCTGTACACTGTTTTTCACCTTCAAGATTGTCATCTTTCTGCTCAATTTCGTTGCCATTAAAGTCTTTATCGTTTCCATCATCGCTATCAACTGAGTTTTCTTCAAATTCTAGCAAAGAGTCTGTGTGTTTCGAGTTTTCAAGATTTGGGAAATGGTGATCATCTGGGCCCACCCAGTTGACTAGGCTGCTTCTAAGGTCAAGATTCTGTGCGTTCATGTTGATGCCTTCGATTTTCACCGTACCTGCTGCTTCCGTTCTTTGTTTCTTGAACTTCTTAAATCTTCGTCCCCTTGCATTTGGAGAACCACCCTGATGGGAAAAAAGAACAAACAGTTTAGATTTAAGTAATGGATTGGTGATGAAATATTTGCATCCAAAATGTAGAAATTAGCTGCATTTGGTGAAATGAAGACCCGAAATAATGAATCACTTAGGTTATAATTTACTTGTATATAGTTTTTTGAGTTGATATAGTGATTGGGTTCACAGGATATTGGACATTAATGAACTGACAGAAAGCTTCAATGGTAATCAAGTCATGCATGTATAGAAAACCGAAGAACCATTATGTTCAATAGATTGAGAATTTGAGATGATCATATATACAAGTCGGTGCAGGTACAAGTCAAATATTTTGAGAACATGAGAACCAACTATTCATGTTTTATTCACGATGAATGTCATGATAGATATTCATCATGAAAATAAATGAAAATGCATGATATTCATGATTCGTCAGGGTTATTCACTATGAATAATGCATGAAATGATTGGTTCTCAAGTTCTGAAACGTACGGTTCATTTAAATTTTCTCTATATAAGTCATCAACAACTGTTTTATGCTCCCTCGGTCCCATAGAAAGGTTCTTTCGGTTTTGGAGATTCAAAGCTACAAACCAAACTTCCGATTCAAGTAGGACATACCCATGTAGTTTTTATCTTCAAAACCTTCTATTCTACCTCTTTTAACTCATTCAACACTAAAAAGCCAAATGTGGACTCATGGGGAGAAGGCATTAGTCCTTATTGTTCTTCTATACATTAATGTATCAATTATTTCTTTAGAACCATAACAACATTTTGGAGTTATCAAATCTAATATGGAAAGCAAAAGTGGAACATCATTTAGTTTTCCTTTTCTTTAATTTTCATGTATGTTCTTAGGTTGGCTGTTTGCCTGTTTGGTTGGTTTTCCATTAAGTCTTATAAAGCTTTGTGTGTGGATTAATTTGTCTGTATAGATTGGAAAGGTTATTGTTTGGGAGGGTTTTTCATAGATGGAATGAGCATTTTTTTTTTAACTGGGAAAAGCAGATTGCGGAAAAACTTGGTTTTCTGCATAAAGTTCCCCCGGAAGCTTGCTGAATGAGCCACATTCTATATCATTAAGCCACTACCAAACAATCATGTATAGCTGACTTAATAAGCTGTGAGTCCCATTAAGCTCAATTAAGCTGCTAACGAACAGGCCCTAGGTTATGAATACTATATGATCTTTATATGCTAATCTGTTCATACAACAAAACCACAAAAAAAGACCATTCAAATCAAATAGTACACACAAAATCAAAACAACCCATAAAAAGCTAGGATCAACATTCAACAATCATGAATACAAGATGGTAGGATTCAGCTAGGCAAAAACACAAACAGATGATGGGCATTGATTCATACTTGCTCATTTAAAAGACTACTTGTAAGATGATGATCATCTCTCTGAACCTGATGTTGAAGTTGAGATTCAAGCAACGAAATCTTCATGATTAGCTCTGAATTCCTCTGTTTTTCCCTTTGCAACTCAGCTGAAATCTCGGAAATCATATTATTCACAGCATTAGAACTATTAGTTTCGTCTCCTTTCATCGTTTCTTGGTCAGCACCACACAATACACCCACCATTTTCATCCCACAACACTTGGGTGAAAAGCCCTAATTCAGAGAAAAGATCGCATATTCATTATGAATATGGTCTCTAAAGTGATCTTTCCAGAAATATGTCTCCTTCAACGATCAAACAGATCATCAGGAGTAGTTCTTTTCATATAAACTCCATCGAGTCCTACCATCTTTCTAGGGGTCGGTGGCATTGCTCTAAAAATACATTATTGAATTATTTTGGTGCTGAAACCCGTAATAAACATTTTTTTTTAATGTTTGGATAAATAACTTATATCAGTGTTAAATCGGTAATAAATCAAAAAACACCTAAAATAAGCAATCTCAAACACCCCCTTATAATAAGTTGACAAGTGTTTTTGTAGAATAAAATAAGTTGTTTCAAATAAGCAAAATACCAAACACCCCTTAATTTATACAAAATTCATAAATTAATTTTTTTTTAAAACCGATATGAAAATACAGTGTTTATACAGTGACGTTACTTATGTAAAAAGTTCATGATTGTTTTTCTATACACAAAACAATCCAGAACGTTTTATATATGAAACAACATTGTATAAGCACTATATATTTAAATCAATATATCTGGTTTTTGTATGTTTTATCGAGTTCGTAAATGATTATGCATCCAAAGAGATCAATGCTATTGCTACGTTTTTTCAAGATAAATGTCAAATTTGCATACATTTTATCTTTAGATCTTTCTCTTAAACAAGATATACTGCTATAATTTGGTTTGATTTTAAACAAAAATACGAATATATCTGAGATCTTAGAAAAACATAAATTTAAATAAGAATTGTGTAGAAGCATCCTAGGCTAATTATAATAGGATTATGAAATACGATATGCTATTTGAGATCAGACTGGTTTCGTAAGATTAGTGAGCCCATATAAACCTGCATAGGAAAACAATTGTGAAGGTAAACCTTCACGTTGTTTTTTACTGTGAATGTTCGATGTTTTTGTACTTTTACAATATTTATCTGTAAAGTTTTGATGTTATTCGGTAGTCACATAGGTCTCACGAAAACATGATGGTCTCACGTGAACTAACCCTGTAAACTCTCAGATTCAAAAATAAATAAATAGAGTATTCAATGAGGCCTTATCGATTAGTATTACACAGAAGAAATAGGATTTCCCATTCTGTAGCCGGAAAGATATGAATTGGTGGCTCCGGGGATTATTTCTCGACAAATTGCATAGTATCATAAAGAGCCATCCCTCTGAGATGTTTGGATTTTTCAGAATTCCCTATTTCTTTGCAAAATTGTGCTCGATGGGCAAATTGCATTAAAAAATAACGTATTTTAACTTAATTCCTTTTTTTTATTAATCTGAATGTCCAACTCACTGTGCGAGCCGACTAATTCCAGGGCAACCACCTGCTTTCGGGTAGTCTGGAGCCACCACATTTGAACCTCCGTGACCACAAGAGGATTTTTATTCCTTCTTGGATTTGAACCTGAGACCTCCAGACAATTTTGACCTTTAGAGTTCAAACTCAAATCAATCAGGCACCACCCTTGTGATTCTTAATTCCTTCAAAACTTCCATTTTGGTACCTAAGATGTAAAGTTTTAAACATTTAAGCACCCGAGTAACCGGTTGAAGACTAATTTTAGATTTAAAAAAATAACGTCACTAACCATGTCAGCAAATAATACTGAATTGGATATCATATCACTTGTCACATAAGCATGATAACCGGTTAATACTTCAACCTGTTACTCATGTATTTAAATATTTAAAATTTTACATCTTAAGTACCAAAATGAAAGTTTTAAAATTACGTTACGTAAAATATAAATCAAGTTAAATTACGTTACTTTTTCATACAAACTGGTTTACAAATAATTGTATATGAAATAAAATTGTTTAGAATAATAATTAATGTTATAGCAAAAAATGAGTGCGCACGTGCATACGATATTTGTGTATGATTAAATACAATTACCAATAATAGAATATTTTCAGCCTCACGTGCACTTCAAAGAATAATATGGGATTAAACTTTGGATTCCATTTCTTATAATAAAATAATACATTTTCTAAAATAAAATATTTCATTTATTTTATATATCTAATTTTATCCGGACTACCCGACAAGCGTTAAGCAAAATAGCAGATAAGAGTTTTATTTCTTACTGAGTAAGATTTTTGGTCATTGTTATACCTCTTATTGGGTAAGATTATTGGGTTTTACAATGCTTAGCCAGTAAGGTAAATGACATTGATATATTTAGTAATTTATGAACAAATGTATATGATATATATAGGGTTGGGTTCCAATGAAAAAGATAGTTAAGATGAGAAGCGTAAGAAAAGACTTTCACTCTTGGATGCACATTATGATAAGATGTACCAGATCAATCCTTGTACCCTTGGTGGCTTTGAGTTTAAGATGATCAAAGGTCCAGATCAGTTCTTACGCTAAATTGTTGTTCAACTATCATGTTGAATAAACAGTCTGAAGAAGAAAATTGACTGTTTTACCCCTCGATCTGTATCCATTGGTATAATATCTTGTAAAAAAAACACGGGCTAGCGAGAGAAAATGTAGAAAAAGAGAGCATCTATTAGCCGGCTGAACGAATAAGCTACTAGCGAAGCCAATTTAAGCCAGAACTGAACACCTTTATATGGCTTATCAAATAAGCCATAGACCCTGTTCGGTCAATTAAGCCACAACCAAACAGCCAGATAAAAATGGGATTAATGTGGCTGCTAAAATCACGTTTCTTCACATTAGTGCATACATACTAGTACAAGATTCGGACTTAAAAGAGTAACGATAACATATTACAAATGTCAAAGAAAACGAACGTCAAACAAGCATTTATAAGTAAACTGTTACATACCGAAAGCAAACAAAATAACCAAAACTCGATAATCCAAAAGATACATGAAAAAAGGCCTCATCTACACAACCCCGAGAGCGTAATAATACCACAATGCGCGACAAATGTTAGCTAGTTTGAACCTGCATCGATCTCGTTTTCTATGAAAACGATCAAAAGAGTTTGGCTTGATGTGCTGTTCCACTTCTCATCATGGTGCAAAACTCCTCATAGTTGATTCTTCCATCCTGTTAGATCATATAACCATGAGTACTAACGGTTAACCACAAGGTGCACCATGGTTCGGTGCTATCATTTGGCAAAGAGACGGGTTTCGAAGGGTGCGGTTGGTAGGCAGACTGGACGGACAAGAGTGAGGTAGGCGGTTGAAAGAATTATTCAAGGTTTTAGGGTTTTAATCTGACAAGGGTAGTTTAGTAATTTACTGATCTTTGTCTATCTCTTTGAATTTTGTTCCACCTATTTTGGTAGTACAAGAAAATACATTTTTCGCCCACTCAGTCTAAACGTCACATCAAAAGGGCGACAAGAAGATTTGTTCTGTCCAATTTCGTCATGACCCGCGTACCCAAAGCATGCTTATGGTCTTAAAGGCGTTTTTTTTAGTGATCGAATTTTTGAACCATTTCACATGGTTTTCCATTATAAACCACCGTTTTCTATGCATTATTATTCTATTAGGATATGTGGAACCCCTTTAAATTTCTCTCAGAAAGAGCCTTTATAGAGAGAATGTAGGTTCCTACATGTATACAGATTTGATGGTCCGTGCCTAGTTGATTGTGCAACTTGAACACGCCCCCTTAAATGGAAGAATGTATTGAGTCCCTAGGGGGCGGTGGACCCCCGCTCTGATACTATGTGAGAATATGTAGGACCCCATTGAATCTCTCTCGAAAAGATCACTTATAGAGAGAAGGAAGGTTCCTTATATATATATATATATATATAGGGTTGAGTTCACGTGAGACCCGGTAGACCAAATTATGTTCATTGATCAACTTTATAAGCTAATGATCTAATGGTTTAGAGTTGCACAGTGGCAATTTTGTGATTATTGAGAAGTCTCGTGGCAATTTTGTGATTATGAATGCTGAGATTGTAGATCTAATCCAAGGGTTGAGAATTGGTCTTACGGGTCTCACGAAAAACCCTTGGTCTCACATGATCTCAAGTCTATATATATATACACACATATTTAATGGTATATATCTGGGCCATGCGAGGTAACGTAAACGATGACTTACATTATCAGTATCCACTTCGGAAATGATGTCCTTGATGGTAGCTTCATCGCCCATTCCGTATTCTTTCATGGCTGTTTCCAGTTCATCCATGGTGATATACCTGTAACATCCAAGAAAGAGAACACTTTTAACTTTTGAAGTCAAACCAAGCACTTAAGAAAACGCGAATTTGGCAACGGTTTCACGACGAATTTAACACCACAAGCGAAAAGCAATCACAATCTAACAACATATTCGGTATCGGAATGCACGTGTGACGTTTCCTATGCTAGGACGGCAAGAAAACCGCAACGTTTGACTATTAGTCAAACGTCTACGTAACTCTTCGGTAATGACAAACCTAAGTCAATACTCCCTCTGTCCCAAAATAGATATCCACAATGAAAAAGGCAGACAGTTTTCCAAATGTATAGTTATTACACTTTTTAATTAACTAAATGACAATTTTACCCTTAATAATAGAGGGAGTAATGAAGTTCTCCGTTACATAATCAAGGGTAAGTTTGGAAAAATAGGCGCCTACTTTTGAAAGTGGACACGTATTTTGGAACAGACTAAAACAGAAACGTTGACACTGATTCTGGGACACGGGAATCATAACAATTTTCATGGGACGACTCGAAATTGTTGCAATTTTCATGGAACAACGGGCATTATAAAATTATACTGAAATGAAACCAACCCGCTATTATCGGCATCGAAATGGCAGAAGGCTTTGTATAGATGCTCATCTCTTTCGAGTCTATGCCTATGCATGGTAGCGGTTATAAACTCGATGTAGTCGATGGTTCCATTTCCGTCCACGTCAGCCTGAAATGTACAATAACATTAGATTATACCAAAGGGAAACGATATACTACCTCCTTCCCAAGATACGTGTCCACTTTCAGAAGTAAGTATCTACTTTCCAATTCTACCCTTAATTGTGAGAGGGAGAAATTCATACTCGCTCTGTTATTAAGGGCAAAGTCGTCATTTAGTTAATGACAAATTTCTAAAACTGCCTTTTTCATCGTGGGCATTTGTTTTTGAGGAGGGAGTAAAGCAGACGGGCGCAAAAGACTTACGGCTTCCATGAGTTGCTTAACTTCGGCTTCTGAAAGCTTGGAACCGAGCCTAGCGAGTCCGGTCTTGAGTTCCTCGTAAGTGATGGAACCGCTCTTATCCGTGTCCATGTTCACGAACATTGCTTTGAGACCTTTAATTTCTTCTTCAGACATACTCTCGGCAATGACCTGCGGATGATTTGAAGTATTTTTCAATAAAATCAAAGCAAGATTACGTATCAAGTTCAAAAAGCATTATGCATATAAAGTTATACACCAAATAGAACAAAACCAGTAAACCAAAAAAAACTCGGGCTTTCCCGGACCCGTCTCGGTATGGAGTCGAAAGAGGGCTCGGGCTTTAACCGGACCTTGAAAAAAATAGGCCTGATCCAGGCCCAGGATTTTTCGGCCCGGGGCCGGGCTTTTGTGCATCTCTAGTCAGAGGTCGGGTTCCCTGGGGGAGGGGAGATGCAAGCAGACTTTACCCCTACCTAGGGGTGTAAACGAGTCGAGCTTTTAACGAGCTAGAGCCGATCTTCAACACAAAATAGAACTCGTTGAACTTAACGAGTCGAGCCTCATAAAACCAATATTCAACTCAGCTCAAGTCGAACCGAGCCATTCGAGCATGTACTTTTCGAGCCAAACATACTCATACGTTCATAAATAATACAATAAAAGTATAAAAATTATCAACCTCGAGTTAATAAACGAGTTAACCGATCGTGAATACGAGCCCACAAACGAGCATCGAGCTCGATAACTCAAAAAATATTCGAGCTCGAGCCCTACATTGAAAAAGTTATTCGAGCTCGAGCCTCGTATAAATTTTCCGAGCCAAGCTCGAATAACCTACGACTCGACTCGTTTACACCCCTATCCCAAAGAGTAGAGCAGTTGTTTCCATGAAAACCCGTTCTCGCAAAAAGTGCTATTATGTACTCCTTCTGTCCCAAAATAAATTTCCACAATAAAAAAAAGGTACAAAGTTTCAGAAATGTGTAATTATTACACTTTTTAATTAACCGAAGAGAAAATAATGAATTTTTTCATCTCATAATTAAGGGCAAAATTGGAAAGTAGACACGTGAACACTTATTTAGAGACGAAATATGGACATTTATTTCGGGACGGAGACGGCATCTCAAAACCTGTAACAGTAACTTTTCAATCGCAAGGTTATATATTTATTTCCTTTTACAAGTTCGAAACTTACTTTCAAAGCGAGTTTCTTGAGCTTATTCATCGCTCTAAATTGCTTCATTCTGGACAGCACCGCACTATCTATCGGCTTGTCTAATGCTTCTCCGCCTTCTCTTAGCCATGGATGCTCTAAATAAGAAAAAAACGCACGTTAAATACGAAGCTTTAATTTAATAATTGCACGCTAAATGAACACCATCATGAAATCCCAAAACGAATCCAACGGTTTTTCCTTATAGGGGTGTTCAAATTTGCATCGTTCAATGAAAAAGCACACCGTTTTAGAAATGTGTATTTTTACATCTTTTTATTAACTAAATGACAATTTTACCCTTAATAACAGAGGGAGTAATGACTTTCCCTGTCTCGTAATTAAGGGTGGAATTGGAAACTAGGTACTTCCTTTTGAAAGTGAACGCTTATTTTGGGACAAACAAAAACAGCAATGTTGACACTTAATTTTGGAACGGAGGGAGTATATTAATGCAATGAACATGATATTCCGCTGCTCGTTTCTTTTTCGAGTTCGATTTTTTTAACAATTTCAGTTTTGGAAAGTCTCATGAAAGTACAACCTTTCCTTTTTTGGCAAGTTTTTAGAATTACCGATTTGGCTATTGTTAATATCACGCCTTGTTGGTGACGTTGATCGTGGTCCATGGCGATTGTTAATGATTCAAAAGATGAAAGTTAACTCATTTACTGAAATGCACGTAAAAAATTTAAAATAATAGATACCAAGCACTTGGGCCGAAGTAATTCTCTTTTTCGGGTCTTGCGTCAACATTTTACGGACAAGATCTTTTGCACTCCTTGATATCGACGGCCATGGTTCGGTTTCAAAGTCGATAACACCTTCTAGTATGGCATCAAATATACCCTTTTCGGTTTCTGCATGCATATAAAGAAAAGAGACTGTTATTAAAGAAAATTATTCAAGAAAAACGTTATATTATTTCTCTTACCTGCCCAAAATGGAGGCACACCGCTTAGTAGAATGTACAACATTACCCCTGCACTCCAAATATCTATTTCTTTCCCGTAACTCCGCCTCAAAACCTCCGGAGCAACGTAGTATGCACTACCGACTATGTCACGGTGCACCCTCCCTAACAAGAGTTACCAACGAAGTAGCAATAAGAAAAAAGCACGAAAATTTAGAGTTCATACAAAGAACAAAACCAATCGTGAAAAGGGTTTGGTTTCAATTAACCAAAGAATCCCAGTATATCTCGCTCAAGAGCAGGATCTGGGGGCCGGATATATACTCACCCCCAAACCTGACCTGCGGTTGTTTCCATGAACACTTGAGCTTGTGCATTTTGTTTCAATGATGATAGCATTCACAATGTACTTGTTATTTTCAAGTCGTCCACACGAAGGCCATAACTAAATGGCTTTAATGCTATTCTCGATTCACAATCCACACTAAATGGGAAAGGTACAAATATCTTTCCCATTTTGATACCGTTCTATTAGATACCAAATTCATCAAGAAAGAGAGTTGTCAATGAACAATAAGAGATCGATACGTAAATCACAAGTGGACTCCACCTTATATGGAGAACTATCTACAAGCCCTTGTTCATTCTACCTTTTTGCTGACACTCATGCACGGTCAGGGGTATTCACTGAAACAACATTCTCTAAATCTTCAGGGTAGAGGATAGGTATGCATACATCGTATTCTATACGTACTTTAGAGTGGAATATACTCGTTCAGTTTGGTTTGGTTTGTTGTCATTAGTTTAGCGCTCATGAGTTACCATAACCTTCAAACAATCAAGAAACTACCAAATTCATCAACGAAGAGAGTTGCCAACAGTAAAAGAGATATAGATGCATAGGTCACAAGTGAACTCCACCCTATGATGCTATCCGCTAGTCATTGTTCCTTCTACTTTTTTGCTTGTACTCTTGCATAGGCCGGAGACCTTCACAGCAACAACCGCTCTACTCTTTGGGTTGGAGAACAAGTTCGAGTACACCCCACCCTAGACCCGCAGACCTTACTTTAGAGTGGGATATAACCGCCATACCCTATTTTAGAGTGGAATATAACCCCCAACCCTACTTCAGAGTGGGATATAGCCCCCAAACCCTACTCTCGAGTAGGATATAGCACCCATACCGTACTCTTAGAGTGGGATATAGCCCCCATACCCTACTCTAAAGTGGGATATATCCCCCCAATCCTACTATAGAGTGGGATATAACCCCCATACCCTACTTTAGAGTGGGATATATCCCCCATACCCTACTTTATAGTGGGATATATCCCCCTTACCCTACTTTATAGTGGGATATATCCCCCATACCCTACTTTAGAGTGGGATATAGGCCTCATACCTACTTTAGAGTGGGATATAACCCCCATACCCTACTTCAGAGAAGGATATATCCCCCATACCCTACTTTAGAGTGGGACATAACCCCCATTCCCTACTTCGGAGTGGGATATATCTCCATACCCTACTTTAGAGTGGGACATAACCCCCATACCCTACTTTAGAGTGGGACATAACCCCCATACCCTACTTTAGAGTGAGATATAGCCCCCATACCCTGGTTTGGAGAGGGATGGAACCTTCATACCCTACTTCAAAGTGATATATAATCCCCATATCCTACGTCAAAGTGGGAAATACTGGGTCGGCTTGGTTTAGTGTCGTTTGGTGCTCATGAGCTACCATAACCGTTGAACTATCAAGAAACATGATTCTTCGGTCTCAAGGGCATGGCATTTTTAATATAAGCATAATAATCTACCTAAAAGGCAATTACTTGTATAAAAAAAGATGCTTTTTTTTTACATATAAGACCATAAAGAAACTTGTACCTTCTTCGATAAACACAGATAACCCGAAATCCGTTGCTTTCAACATCGAATTCTCCTCTTTACTAGAAAGCAAAAAGTTCTCAGGCTTTAGATCCCTATGCATCACACCCATAAAATGACACACATGAACAACATTCACAATCTGCCTACAAATTGAAGCTGCAGCTTTCTCAGTGTAATGTCCTTGAGCTATAATCCGATCAAAAAGCTCCCCACCGGCACAAAGCTCCATCACAAGATGAACAGATTGTCTATCTTCATAAGTCCCTTTAAACTCAACAATATTTGGTTGACCACTTAAATGTTGCATAATCTGAATCTCCCTCTTGATATCCTCTTTATCATTTTTGCTTGAAAGCTTCCTTTTCAAGATTGATTTACAAGCATAAGTATGACCAGTTGAATTCTCAGTACAAAGATAAGTTACCCCAAATTGACCTCTGCCCAATTCTTTTCCAAGATTGTAGTGTCTTCTTATATCCTCAAATGGCTTCCCCAAAATGGTATTTGGGTCTGAACCCTGAGCAGGCCTAGGGTTTGAAGGTGGTGGTGCTGGGTTTGGAGGTGGTGGTGCTGGTTTAGGAGGTGGGGTGGTGTTTTGTGGCGGCGGCGGTGGTGGCTGGTGGTGTTGGTGGTGGTGGTGGGTTTCTTGTGGAGGCTGGGTGTAATTTGATCTGGGTTTTTGGTAATTTTCAGAAACTGGTTGGTAATTTTGATGTTTTGAAGATCTATAGCCATTAGAATTTGGGTTTTGGCGATTTTTCTTGCTGAAGCAGCCGCCCATTGTTGTAGATCAAGAAGAAGGATTGAAAAGGGGATAAACCTAAAGAAAGAAAGTGAGCAAAGATTCAAGATGACAAGCAAAAAAAACCCAAATTTTGTGATGAATCTTGATTCCTTGTTGAAGAAAGCTGACAACTTTTATAGGGTTTGAAAAACCCCAGATGGATTCGAGAGATTTTGGATCAAATTTTGTGTAGAAAAATGAAATAAAATTAAAAAAAGATTGAAGATTGAAAAGTATAAAGAGTTGTTTGGATGAAAGACGACTAAAATAAACATGTGTCTCGTTGACAAGCATGTCTGAAGGCCTTCACAGTCATTGTCGCGAGCACATTTGGCTCAAGATTTTATAAAATGTTATTTTATATAAATTATATATACAGAGAGATTGTTTCAAATAAAACATGTTGTATTTGTATAATCAATGCAATCTAATAAATTGAAATATATATGAAAATGATGAGAGTTCATTTATTATGATTTAAATATTTATGGAAGATAAATATGGTTCATTAATTATGATCAATACTTTTATATTAGGAAACAATCAAAACTTCTATAAAATCACATATTAATCAAATGAAATGGACGGGTGAGATTGGTTTGTATTGGTTGCACAAATGTCAAGAGTTGTATAATAACCAACCTCTCTCTCTCTCTCTATATATATATATATACATATATATATATATGTGCATAATCAAATAAAAACTAATTGATTTGTGGTAACCGTGAGTTCCAATCTCACTCATAAATCAATAGATTAATTAGAAAATTTAAAATTTTGAATTAAAATTTAATGCAAAGACATTTTAGGTGTTTAACAAGTCAATATATTTAAGTATCAGCGGAGGACGGTGAGCAGAGGCCGAAGGACGGAGGATGGGGGACGGAGAGAGAAGATATGAGAGAAAATACTCAAAATGTCATTGCATTAAAATTTTAATTCAAAATTACCAAAATTATAAAATTCCTAATTTATTTATTGATTTATAGCTGAGATTGGATCCTACAATTACCACACCCTTCAATGGACCCTATATATATATATATATATATATATATATATATATATATATATATATATATATATATATATATATATGGAAAGAGAATTAAACAAGAAAGTTATATAAATAAGAAAAAATAAGATAATGAATCTCAATCAATCATTTATTTCAATTATATCTTAAATAAAACTTTCTTAAAATCGCCTAAAAAACGTATGTGTCATTTGTTAGATATGAATTATTATAAATGGAAATTCATTTATTTTTATAAGAGTTATTTAAATACATTTAATTATCTTAGTTTTATAATTTCCATGATTTAAACGTAATTAATATTTCATTTATTTTATTTTTTTATCTTTATGACATTTAAAATAAGCATGATTCAGTTTTTTTATTTAAAATAATTATTTTTTATATTAGTAATTTATTTAAGATATTCTTTTAATATTTTCGTCAAAAAAGTCACATATGATATTCACAATTCATCCCATTTTTTTCTCAAAAAAAAAAAAGTTAATTCTCGTCAAAAAGATAAAGTGTAAATTATCGATAATACATCACACATGTGGTATTTGTAAATTATTAATTACGTTTTGAAACGCATATAATCTTATGCATATTAATGTGTTCTACTACACATCACGTGTGATTTTATTTATATTATTTATTTATCTTCGAATGTTTTATTTGAATTATTGTTTTTCGTGCTTTAAATCACATATAATTAAAAAAAACAATTAATTGTGAACCACATGTTATTTTGACAAAAATTATAATTCTTTTTAAATATTGTGTTAAATGAAACATAAATTCTCTAAATGAAAATTAAATTATACTTATTTTAAATGCCTTAAATAGAAAAACAACTTTTTTAAATAACATTAAAATGGTAAAAGAAAAATATTAAATAAATATCTTAAATAACTCTTATACAAATAACTGACTTTTATATTGTTTCTGATTCGTTTTTTAAATTTTTTATTTAAGGACTTTATTTAATAAATTATATGGTTCATATTTATTTTCTTATCTAGCTATTGCTCTCTCTCTTTCTGTGTGTGTGTGTATATATATATATATTGAAAGAGTAATCGTGCAATGTAGCGAGATATATCTAGATTTTAATATTCTATTTTATTTTTTGTCTTTGTCGATGTTATAATACGATTTTATGTGTTTTTAAGAAAACAATAATGATTTTATTTTTGAATAAATTATAAATTTGAATATATCATAAAAATTTGAAAAAAAAAATATATATCAATGTTAATATCAAATCAACTATTTAAAAGTGCTAATTTTTTATGTAACTTCTTTAATTTTTTATTATAATTTATTTAGGTTTAATAATAAAATAATTTATTTTTGTTTTAATAATATAATATTTTATAAATATAATAATTAAGTATTCTGTTAGAATTCAATGATTATCTTGATTATATTTTATATTTTTTATATTTAAAATGAGATGTTTATCATGTATTTAATTATGTTTATCTGCAGTTAGTTACACGAATTCATATATGAAGCTTTAATAAGTTGTATTTACGCACAATTTACTTGTAATCTTGAATTTTAAGTAACATGCATTAATAAACAATACGTTATGCATAAAAATGTTTTATAATATAGTATAGATATATAGTTTTTTTTTTTTTTTTTAATTTTAGATTTGATTTTTAGAAGAATCAAATATTAACATTAATAATATAATATTATAAAATATTTTTTTCCTTATAATTTTTATTTTTATAAATACAACTTATAAACCATAAGGGTGGTACCCGATTAGTTTGAGTTTGGGCTCCAAATGTCAAAAGTGTCTGGAGGTCTCAGGTTCGAACTCAATGAATAATAAAAATCCTCTTGTGCCTACGAAGATTCAAATGCGGTGACTCTGGACTACCCATAAAGCAAGCGGTCGTCTTGGGATTAGTCGGCTCGCATAGCGGATTGGATATTCAAGTTAACAGAAAAAAAAAACTTTCATGATTTTATCGATCCCATTTTACGCTACAAAAGCTAACATCGTATTGAATATAGTAAATACGTACCCAAAAAAAAATAGTATTAAATATTTGTCGTTTTATTTTAGGAACCCGGTTTTCTGAATATCGGAAAACAAATCTTATTTGAAGACGATTTATCCTATCCAATAAATAGTTTTTTTTTTCCTTAAATCATGTAAACACATTAATTAATTAGAGCATGTGCAACAAATTCTCTAAAATAGAGAAATAAAAGTCAAAATCTTCAAAAAGAAACCGTTTCTATTTTTGCAGATCACAATATTAATTATATTATTAAAATATTCAACATTTTCTATAAAATATATTTTTTTATATCTCATACATTTAATTTCAAAGATTCTTATTGCTATAAAGAATAAAAAATAATTTATCTTTCACATGTAGGCATGGTAATGGGTTATATGCGGGTGTCTAGATAACATATATTTTATATGAATTCATTTGGTGGGTTTTGTAATCTCCGGCCCCGGCCCCTGTCCCTGACGGGTAAGGTGATTAATATTTCGTCCCTGGTCAAACCTCATGAATAATATATTTTAGTTTGAGTCTACCGAGGATCTCCGGCCCCAGTTTGAGTAACATCTCCCCCCCCCCCTGTTTGAGGTCTACCGGGGACCTCCGGCCCCAATACCCGTTTCACCTCTTAACAATTTAGAGACTGTCTCTTAATGAATTTATTGATAGATAAACAAACAACCATTGAAACAACATTACAATGTTTTTTTGAAACAAATTAGAAAAAAAAACTATTATATTTATTAACTTATCTTGTACTTATACACACATAATATATATATATATATATATATATATATAGGGTTGGGTTCACGTGAGACCAACATGTTTTCGTGAGACCCGTGAGACCACATTTTTTACACGTAAACTTCACAGAAAAAACACAGTGAAGGATTTAAAAGGTCGAACCTTCACAGCAAAAACACTGTGAAGGTTTTAAAAAGTCACCTTCACATCATTTTTGCTGTAAAGTTTCAAGTGTAAAATGTTGGTCTCACGGGTCTCACGAAAACAGGCTGGTCTCACATGATCCCAAGTCTATATATATATATATATATATATATATATATATATTAGAAGGGTTCTCGCATAATGCAACGAGATACATCTCGATTTTAATGTTTTTTTTTTGTCTCAGTTGATATTATAATATGTTTTTATATGATTTTGAGAAAACGATAATGTTTCTATTTTTGAATAAAAATATAAATATGAAAATATCATAAAAGAGTAGAAAAAAAAATATTTATATTACTATCAAACTAATTATTTAAAATTTATCGTTTTATTGTGTATCTCTATAATTCATTTTTTATTTTATTTAATAATATAATTTTTCATAAAGATATTAATTAAGTATTTTGTTAGAAGTTAATGGCACTCCTAATTATATTTTAGATTTTTTATATTTAAAATGATATGTTTATCCTGTATTTGATTGTGTTTATCTGCAGTTAGTTACACGAATTCAGATATGAAACTTTAATAAGTTGTACTTACGCACAATCTACTTGCCATCTTGAGTTTTAAGTAATATGCATTAATAAACAATACCTTACGCATAAAAAAGTGGGTTTTAAGAGTTTTTATCAAATGTTTTATAATATAATATAGATATGTGATGTTAAACTATATTATTTACAATTCAAAATGAATTTTTTATTCATTACCTGTTTTGTAACCCGCTATTTTAATATATACAGTATAAATATAGATAATGGGTTTTTAGATAAATAATCACTCAATTTGCTATCCTCTATTTTGAAGTAGACAAAGTAACGGAATAATGCTTACCCTATCCATATTCTAGTAGTTGTTGGTCATATTAGGGATAGATCAGTATCAAACCGGTATCGATTTTTTACGGGACTCAAAACTAGGACCGAAAACCGAAACATACGTACAGGTTCGGTACTGGTTCAGTTTCGGTTTCGAGACGGGTAAATCGGTACCAGGACCACTTAGGACCGAAATATGAATGTGGGTTAAGAAACAATCAAAAGTTCATAATGTTTTAAACGTGTATCAAAACCAATCGCAAACCACTTAATCTTCAGTATTATTTTTCCCTTTTTCTTTTCCATTTTGTTCGTTTATTAGGGCCGAAGTTTTGATCGACTTGGATAAGATATTGATAGTTTAGGAGAATGGAATTTCAGTAGTCACGTGTCCCCTCTAAACTCTGGATCGGTTTTTTTCGAGAAAATATTGGATCCAAGAACCGAAAAAACAAATCCCGAATATGTTGTAAAACCGGAACCAGTAACCAAACCGATTACATGCATACGGTTCTGTACAAGAATATGGTCCTCAAGTCTCATTCCTAGATCCTACTGTCGGGGTTCATCAATGACGACCCTGAACTAGAAATGGCGAAAAACAACCCAAATCGGTCCGGATCCAAGATTGTCCACTTGTAACCGGTCCTAGTCGGGCTCAACTCTAGACAGGCGGTGGAAACTACCAAGCTGAAGTACGGTAGGGGCAGAAAATGCCTCGAGCCAATGTTTGAGTATCAGGCGCTATGGCGCTGAAGTAACCCATGCCATACTCCCAGCTTTATCCTGACGGGAGCAAGAGTAACAATACAGTTTATAATGCTACAACATTAGGTATAGTAAGCAAAATCCTACGAAAAGAAAAGGGGGATACGAAATAACCATAGCGGATCCTGACAAAAAACACCTAACTCGTTATTGATGTACGAATCCCGGTCTTGAATCGGTCCCGGTCTAAAATTATTATCTTGTAACCGGTCCCAACCAAAAATATCTGACCTATGCGAAGCCCATCTCGGGCCAGGCCCAATTTGACGATCTTTAATCTATTTTTGAGGCCCAAAATATAAATAGTCCGGCCCATTTCAAGGCCCACCACCAAAATTCATCAGAAACCAAAAATCTAAAAGTCCAGACTCCATTGTCGATCGCTCGATCTCCCCTGCGATTTTTCGATTGTTTGTTCGGTTGTGAATGCAAAGACTTCAAAACAGAACCTCTGTAGGTGTGTGCGGTTGAAGGGATCAGAGTGTAGAAACCCTCGTTCTCGGTAAGTTAAATTTTCAGGGTTTCATTCATTTTTGTTTTTTAGGGTTCATCTCTCTCTCTCTCTCTCTCTGTTTTGTTCATTATTGAAATCCTCACTACCTCCTAGTAATTAGTATTGATTATTGAATAGTTATGTTACGTTGAAATTCCCAAATTGTTGGATATTTGTTTGAAAGTGTTGAGCTTATCACATTGACTGTTGAAATTGTCGTATATTTCTTATTGAAAGTGTTAAGATTATCGCTCTGTGTTATGCTGATTATTGAAATTGTTAAGTTGATTTGTTGGAGCCAACTAACTATGATAAGATTAAACAAAGTCAGGATTTTTTAGTTATTTTAGAGGACCACCGTGGGCAATAGGAGTTTACCAAATCCCTGTTGTCAATCAATGATGCTGAATGAGATGCTGACCCGTTAAGCTAAGAGAGTTACTCTTACTTGGTCCGTGATTAATGTTAACCCATACAACACTTTTACCTGGTTAGCGTTTATGCATTTTGTCTTGGTAAACGACCCATCAGACAGTATAAACTAGTTACTAGTAATTGCAATATATTATTAATGCATACAATTTGGTTCAACTAAAACGATTGGTTTTTATATTCACGCTAGTAATCGAACTGGAAACGACTTAATTTGAAAAAAATTAAACTAGTGGATTGCTTTGGTGTGGTTGGTATGCTCAATTTAGGGGGTAAAAAGTAAAAAATATATACTTGCATTATAAAGCAATGCTTTCGGGTTTTCTTAAACTATCGGAAGGTACAACTGTTTTTTACTTTACGTACATGCTTCAAAGCATCATACAACCACTCACATCCCATAGTCCTAAATTCTCTCTGATGATACTCTATCTCTCAGCGGATAAAATCCACTTCCTCGCCTGCCCTCTTTCTCTTAATATCCAGATTCCACACTTCTCCTTTGTTCTCTATACCGGTGTACCTATTATTCATCAGAATTGTGTTGTGAGTCATTGTTTTTAAAATGAATTGAGGGAGTGGCAACTTTTTTTGAAAACAAGAACTAAAATAATGAGAATGACAATGAAAGATGGTGATTAGAGAACGTAGGATATATTAGGAAGAAGTTTAAAGGCACAATTTGTTTAAATTATGTTTAAAACATTTTAAGTAGCTATCTAACTATATTAATTTTCGTTTGATTTTTATAAATTTTCATTTCCCACCGCATTGCGTGGGTTCACATAAAAACAAGGGAAGTTGCCCAAAATAGCCAAGTGACTCACTCCTATTAACTTTTTAGCCCACTTTTTTGAATTGGACCAAAATAATCAAAGATTTCACAAGTGTCCTTTTAGCAACTTGCAAAATTTATTTTTTCCGAATTAAATATGATTATGATGGGGTCGACTTGCAAAATGTTCTTGGTGGCTTGCAAAAGGTCCTCCAAAAAACCATATTTTAATATAAAAAATACATCTCGCAAGTTGCGGAAAGAACACTTACAAAATGTTGACTATATTTGGTACAATTGAAAAAAAGTAGACCAAAAATGAAGCCATTATATAGTCCCTTTCCCTCTCCGACTCCACCTTCCAAGACCTGCAAAACTCTGCCTATATCTCTACTGCCAGACTGCAACTTCATCTTGTAAGTGAATTTTACATTTCCGGTTTCAGTATGTAAATTTATTCATAGTGTTCAATTCTTCATATCTTCTTGGTTGCGATCAAATTCGATGTTACTTTTTTTGTTTGATTCAGGGAAATTAGGGTTTTGTTTGCAATCGTATGATAAGCGACCTGTGCGCCGAGCTTACAGCGATTTAAGATTTTGAATCTCTCTATTTTCTCCTAAAATGAACAATCCTCGCCCCCTCCCCCAGTTACCATTTTCATCTCTTGATTCTTATGTATATAGTAAGCGTGATCCTTTAGAACCTATGCTCTTGATGCCATCTTTTATATAAGTATCTTTGTATTAAATAATTGGGCCATGGAACTTGCATTTGATTTGATTTGGTTATACAAGTTTGTGATAGTTTGCTTTAGAGTTTTGATTCTTCTTCACAATAAAATAGAAATAGAAATAGAAATAAAAATGGTATGTTGTTATTTTTGTAACAAAACTCTTTCTTCTTACATGTAGAAAATGTGGCATTGATATCTAAAAACTAAAATCATAATGATGGATTATGACATATGCACGATCAATTATGAGATGAAATAGAAGAAGCATTATTGGAAGCATGCTTAAGAATTAGCAATGAAAAACCTGGGAGTTGGAAGGTCTTTGCTCTGGCTATTTGAACAAACGGTGTACAGAATTGTGTTTTTGGGGGACAGTTATAGAGCTCTGATTGTGGCATCAATGGAAGTCGAATTTTTATAAGATGAAGTGTGCTTTTTTTGTGCCTCAACAATTTTGGTCCGGCTAGTTTACCGAAACAACTAAATTTTATATTTTGCATCAATAAAATTAGGTTATTGGAGATTTACCAATTATATACGAGAACACAAAAAGGTCAAATATTCTTTTTTTGCTTGATGTGGATATGGAAGTTTCTGTTGAAGTCCCAACTGTTACAATCCTTTAGGGGTACAGTTTGTAACGTCATTTGGAGCTAAGATTATAGTCCCTATACATGGCAATGGATTGTGGTTTTGAGGATATGTTGTTTGTGTATGCATTTCTTGTGATCAACTTTGACTGTCTAGGTACTTGATTTCAATTGACTGAATATTTGTTGATTTTACACATTTTGTCTTTTTTATACAAAAATATAATCAATAGTAGTAAGGGTAAAAATGAGTGTTTCCTGAATTTTGATGCCCGAAGATAACAAACCAAACATCAGTTTTGGGAATGATACCCAAACCCAATGCATCAACCATACAACCGTTTTCACGTAATCATACCCATTCCCGTTCGAGTTTCCTTGAGCCATATATATATATATTCTCAAAATCATTGTACCACCAAAGAAATCTTGGTTGAAGATACTCAATAGTTATATGAGAGTGTGCACATAATTACTTTTACCGAGTTAAACTTTGACCCTATGAACTTTCTTATTGCTTGTTCAATAGAGCAAGAATTACCGAACCTAGACTTGCTTTCCCAGACGGGGGGATGTTTGATATAGAGGAATGGAATGAGAGAATCAATTCCTTGTTTGTTTGATTTTAAGGATGGAATGAGGGAATAAAAAAGCATTCTCTTTCCAACTTCATCGAGGGTAATAGGCCTATCTAAATTGTATTGGGAATGAAAAATTATTCACTATAATTTTTCTTCCCATTCTCCAACATTTCCATTACTATTCCTATTTTTGGGTATCACCCAATCACCCTCTCTTCTTCCTGATATGAAGAATTAGTTGATTCCAAGTAGAATGAGTTGATTCTACGTAGAATTAGCCAATTAGAAGACTTACTAAACAAAAACTAGGGTATAAATACTCTTACATGTGCATTGCACATTCTACAAAAGATTGAAGAAATCTGCTGAAATCGTAGTCAATTTTTCTCTCCATGGCGATTGAAAAGCGTAGCAGACTTGGGGTATGCCCCTCGTAGTTGTAATGCTTTCGTTTTTTGAATAAATTTTTCCGGGGTTCCGTCCCCTTTACCAAAAAAAACGCGTAGCAGACTAGATTACCGTCTTTGCTGCTGTTTTCTCTCAACATTCCTACTAATCCGTTGCTCTTCTTTCTTGGGTCCACAAGGTGCATTATTGACTTTGCAAGTGCAATAGATGAATTCATGATAAAGCATTTGTATGCGGCTGGTGGACCTTCTAGGTATTTTTAATTATTCTCCCTCTTTTGCTTTTGCAATGTTGTACCTTAATAGCACAATGCTATGAATTTATGCATATTTTGTATTATTTTGAATTTTCCTTTAAGGTGCATTTGGTATTGTGGCGTGTGACTGGACATGACCGGATGGACGACAGTAAGGTAGGCGGGTGAAAGAACTCCGGAAGGTTTTAGGGTTTTAACTTGTTATTGATAGTTTAATAATTTACCAATCTTTTCCCATCTCCCCGATTTTTGTTCCACCTATTTTGGTTGGATAGAAAATGCATTTTTGTCCCACCGAGGTCATGTCTTTTCCCAATCTACTGTTGCACCAAACATGTGACACGTTTTTCTATTGTCCTCTCTCGTCCTCTTCTGTTCCGTGTACCAAACACACCCTTAAGAATGTGTCAATTATATTTATTGAGTTTCTCCCTTCTGAATTTTTTTTGTGTTGGTGCGTTAAGAGTGCATCAATCTTCTTTGTTGAGTTTCTTTCATGTATATTTACTAGATGCTATCATACCTAAATATTGAATGCTCAAGACGCAAGTAAAAATATTATTCTAGGCATCTTGGGCATCACATTTTTTTTATGAATTGTATTCATAAATCATAACTTTTGTAATTTATATATAAGATTACATTCTTTTAATTGCAACCATTTCTTACTTTTGTTTTACAATGTTTGAAGAAAGCGTATCTTTTCGGTCGCTTATTTTACAAATATGCACTTTACAATGCAATGTGTGATTTTAATAAAACCATTCATCTAGAGAGATCTATGTGTAGGGTGTGTCAAGAAGGATTATGTGCATGTTACCATCAACAATGTGTGATTAATGCATTATTTACCTTAAGGTGATAGTCTTTTAATTAATCCAAACCATAATAATGTTCTCTTATTTTAAGTGCTGTATTTAAGACTTTATGTGAGATATGGAACTACTTTTAAACTGACTAATTAAAATGTTCCTGTTAATTCTTCACACTGTCCGGATAATGGTAAATGTTACAATTTTTATGGGATAAAAAATATGGTTTTAGCTGCTCTTTTCTTTTGTTAGGGGGAACTAACTACAAAATGCATGCATGGGATAGATGTGATGATAGATTTACCATAACATTTCTCCGACTCCATCTTTGATCTTAATGGCAGCAAAATATACAAGTCCAGATATCGGAAATATCAACTACAAGATACGAGATACCCTAAATTGGATGATAGATCTACCAAACTTTTTTCATCCGGAAGCTATTGGCACAAAGACCCTTCATGACATGCCACTTGGTGCGGAAAGCATCTTTGGAGTTTGAACAACAATGCCTAGTTAGCTTGAAGGCTACACTATCACTTAAATGAGTAACATGTTGATGCTAATGAGTCATCATCCCCTTTACAACATTGAATGTGCATGTCAAGAAGATTAGTAGTTGATTTTTCTTCAAAAATTAAAAAAATGAAACTAGAAATTGTATTCATTGGTGTGAACTTGAAGGTGATGGTCTGATGTGTTAACGACTTCTGATTCTTGTTTAGGGGTGTTGTTTTGTTTGTTGAAGTTGTGATACTAATTAAGCTTTATATTTTGGATCTAGAGCTTGGGTTCACCAGCTTCATGGAAATGCTCGAAGGAATTCTTTTCAAGTCAAATAAAGAGCAAAAGTTTTCTTAAGAATAGGGTATGTTTCTTTCCTAGCAACCATATTATTGTCTTTCTGCATTTTGAACTATAGCTTCTTACATTATGGTTTTCTATCATTTTCTAAGCATGTTACCAAACATGTGGGCTTTTGAGATTTGTGCACCAATAATTAGTTTAGGATTCAGCAAGTTCTTACGAGAGGTTCATTGAAAAGAGTTGAATATTGATCTGTTTGTATTTATGTTCATGGATATAGCATTTTTAAATTTGTTTCATATTTGTTAAGTGGGGGGCGGCACCCGATCAAATTGAATACCATTTATGCAATTTCAGCAGGGAACACAACGAAGATTGGGGGAGCAAAGGGTACCTCAAAAGGATAGTCTCAACTCAAGCATTTGAGATCACAGATCCAAATTGGCGCCCTAGCCCGTAATTGCTTAATCCACTTCACCAAACCCTTTAAAACCCCAACCCCTTATGGTTTTTATTCTGCTATTGCAAATCAAAATCATGGCCCAATTGCAGTAGTTAGTGCGGCTATTTCCCCCAAGACTGCTAACCGCTATAGCACCACAATTAACGACATAGATCTTTGGAGTGTCCCGTGTGTTTTTTATGTAGGCCTTAGTATCTGCTGTTCTTTTTGAAAATTTCTTCTTGTTTTCACCTCCAATTTTTATTCCCCCACCCTTCAAATTTTTTTCCCGATTGTTTCAGGCCCTTTTGCAATTTTTCTAAATCTGTTCCTTTTTGCAAAATTGTGGCATGGAGCTAAGCTTTCAAAATCTTTTTTTAATGCCTGTGTTTTCTTGGAAACAGTCTTTCTACTTCTTGAGGCAGAAGAAAGGTCTGCCTACATTTTACATCCACTCATACTCTACTTTCGAGTAGGGATATTCCGAGTTAGTTTGGTTTATGATATATATTCAAATAATCATAAATGAAGTCCATCCTCATCTAATTATTGTGCCAAACAGTGAAGATCTTTCCGTTGTATACTCAGAGTTACTGGTGCCTGTTTTTATTGTTTACTTTTCCATTTTTGTGTGGATTTCTACTGGTGATGCTGCCTTCCATTGTCTGAATTCAAGAGTGCATATAATATCTTTTTAAAATAAATTAAAATTTAATAAAAGCAAGAATCAATGGATCTAGACCTGTTTTCTTTAATGTTGAGCTGGATAACTTTGTTTAGCTTGGTGTGCCTTCAATCTTGTAGAGGTTGGAATCGACCAGCGTTCATCTTCTGAAACCTGACCAGAACAACACTGTTAATCACCAATCTTTTAGAAAATTTAATGATTTTGTAAGCATCCAGTCATTTGGAATATATTTATTTAATAATTTCTGAAGAACAGATAGAAAAGATTGTACATTTAGTAGTAATGTGATAATGGTTACTGCATTCTTAATATCTATTTTCATAGTTAATATTAATTCCAGCTGCTGTTATACTTGTAATTGCAGGGTTTTTCATTAGTCTTGACTTCTAGTTGTATCGACTTCATCGTTACCTTCACCATCGATGGAAAATCAGTGCTATGATGTTGTCACCGATGCTGCAAATTTATCCAAAAACAGAGATGTTACTTCTGAACATGTGGATGATGAGGAGGATGAGGAAGGAGATGTGGATTTCAACCCTTTTCTGAAAGCAGCTCCTTCTCTAGAAGCTTCTTCAAGCCTTAGTTCTGAAATCGAAGAGTTTGATGCCGATATAGTGGACAGTGGAGAAAGTCACCCACCTGTCGATAATACGGCAAATGCCCCCGAGGAAGTGCAAGATGATAATGTCGGAAATATTGAAAATGGTTGGGAGATAACAATTCAAGAAGCTTGTAGGGACTCTGATAATACAAATTTATGTAATAAAGAGACTGAATCTAACACTGTCACAAATACAGTTACTAATGTTTCCGTTGAAGAGTGTCATGAAGCATCACATTCCCAAAAGCCCGTTGATGATATTGATGACGAGGATGCCATCTGGAGGCGCACCAGAGCTCGTTATTCTCTTGTGAGTTCCACTCTCGATGAACTCGAGACTTTCCTTCAAGAAACAGATGATGAGGATGACCTTCCTAACATTGATGATGAAGAAGAATACAGGAAGTTTCTTGCAGCTGTTCTACAGGGTGGAGATGGAAGCTCAGGTGCAGCTCAAGAAAACGATAATGTTGATGAAGAAGATGAAGATAATGATGCTGACTTTGAGTTAGAAATTGAAGAGGCACTTGGGAGTGATGATGAAATTTTACAGACTGTGTCTCAAGAACAGGAGCATGCACGAGTTGGTAGGCGACCCGAGACAAGACAGAAAAAACGTCAGAAAATTGATCTTCAACCGAAAAAGTTTTCCGCACAAACGAACAGGCCATTACGCCCCATTTTACCTTATGCACCAATTACTTTTTCATCAGACCCTAATGCGAGAGGTTATATGATTCAGAGTACTTCTGGCTATGTGTCTTCATCTGCAACGAACGACTACATCACTGCATTCACTCCACAGCAGATCGGCCAGTTGCATTGTTTGATATACGAACACGTGCAGCTTCTCGTTCAGGTCTTTTCTCTCTCCGTTCTTGAGCCTTCTCGACAACATATCGCCACCCAAGTTCAGAGGTTGCTTTCAGAGATGCTTCACAAGCATGATCATGTACTTGCCTCTCAAAGACCACCATATCCCAGTTTTTGTTTTAACCTGCCATACATCCGTTCTGCTGTAACAAGTGAGTTGCAGAAAAGTTCCCAACCACAGAACACCTCCAAATCTTCCACCATTGATGCAGAAAGAGTCTTTTCTTCAGTCCCACATTGTGATCCCAGTTCCTATCAAAGTGTTTGTAACGGGTCAACTGGTCATGGTCAACCTACGGAGGGTTTTTTCTGGGTGCCTTTCGTCAGTGATACCGTGCTTTCTGTTATAGATGTAGCCCCGCTTAATTTAGTTCGAAGCTATATGGACGATATTTCTATTGGTATATCCTTTCTTTCTATTTGCATTATTTGCTTTTGTAATCTAAGTTCTTGTACCCACCATGGTTTCGGTTTATTACCAGCTGTTCAAGAGCATCAACAGAGACAGCTAGAAGTTTCGTACGATGCTACTGCCGACAAAGAATGCTTGTTTCCTTTCAAAAATTTTCATTCTTCAGCTGAACCTACTGGCGTCTCCTCTGATCCTACTCTGGTGCCTTCTAAAGCTAGTGATCAGAAATCAAAAAAGACAATTGCTGCTGCACTCGTTGAAAGGTCTAAGAAGCAATCAATTGCTCTAGTTCCAAAAGAAATCGCAAATTTAGCCCGGAGATTCTTTCCACTCTTCAATCCAGCCCTGTTTCCACATAAGCCACCCCCTGTATCTGTTGCAAATCGAGTGCTTTTCACTGATTCTGAGGATGGGTAAGTTACAAGCTGTTTAATCATTAATGCTTCTATGGGTCACTGGTTTCTTGAACTTGTGTGTTTATCAACATTCCCTTTTAAATGGCAATATATATTGCCTTGTCTTTTCAGTATTTATTCATATTCATATGGGAATGCCTTGAATGCATTTCAAAACTCTTAGGTCTCGTTTGGTTTGCAGGATTGGACTTGGAATTGAATTCCATTCCAATCCCATGTTGGTTTGAAGGATTTCATGGATTTGAAATCCCCCAAACATAGGATTTCGGAATCCCATGGGGTTGGTTGGTATTTCGATTTCGTAAGATTTGTTTGTAATAATGGTTTAAAATACGTTAAAACATTTGTTTTGTAATAATCAATTAACGAATGGGTAATTTAATTATTTTTATAATTATTTATAAATAATGGAATTCAATTCCAATCCAAATCCTGCAAACCAAACACACTAAGGATTCCAAATCCAAATCCAAATCCAAATCCTTCCAACTCCAAATCCTTCCATAAACCAAATCCCTAAAAACCATTCCATCAAACCAAACACCCCCTTAATAATTTGTGAATACCCTTCGTCTTCTTGTTTTGAGAAAATACATTGATTATATGTGTTGCACATTGGGAAAATGGTGCCTGATATTAGCTTTTTTTAAATATATTTATGTACTTCATATCAAATTTATATGTTGAGTTTGGACTTTTAGCATCTTGTTGTCATAGTGGTATCACTTCCTTTGGTGTATTTACAACTTGATATCTTTGATGGTATATGTACTACCTGTATCCCGAAGACAACGTGTGAACTATAGTTATGGATGACAACAAACATTTACCGTCTTCTAAACTTTCTGGGATTTCTGATTTTTGTAATTGTTTGATTCATGCAGGTTATTAGCTCTGGGGTTAATGAAGTATAATACCAACTGGAAGGAGATTCAGAAAAACTACCTACCCTGCAAATCTGCACATCAGGCAAGTTCCTAATATCCTATAAAGAAAAGTTTTTCTTTTTAGCTTGAATATAGAAATTAAGTACTTATCACTGTCTGTAGGTATATATGCGTTATTAAGTTATGACGAAATAAGGTTATTCAACATCTATTGCTCATGATTATCAAACAACACTTCTTTTAAAATACGTTAGAGGATTAAAGTGGTGAATTTCTGTTATTTAGATGGTTCATGTTGAATGCATATCAAACAATATGTTTAATCCACCACCAACTCTACACAAAAGCCTTTAAACTATTTAGAACTCGATCATTCAACACTTCTTTGTGCAGTTGTATTGTATCAACCAACACTTCAGAACGTTCTTGTTAGTGAGAAGTCCATTCATTTTCTGAAAGTGTCTGTTATACCCTATAACCCTAATAATAGTTGTATATGTGATGTGTGAGCAGTACAGGGGCATTCTAGAAGGGTCTAGAACATGTAGGTGCGAATTGTTGGTTTTGGGCGGGAATTTCTGTTTAGCATATGTCAGCAGTTAGTTTTAATAAGAGGAGGGGGTATCAGGAGGGTATTCAGTTTTGTAAACCTCAAATTGGTTGTTAGTCTTTGGGAGAGAGTCTGACCTCTTGAAAGTCAGATAGTTTTCACTATATTGATCTCTATTGTAAGGAAATCAGATTTCGAGTAAGTTTGTTGTTCTTGGTGTATACCAAATGGTATCACAAGTAGTCTATGAATCTTGCCAATGCTTTTCAAATGTTCTGCTGGTATTCAGCATCATCAGTGTGGTCAACTGATTGATGTTCTTGTTTACTTATTCATTTATATATTGCAGATCTTTGTGAGACAGAAAAACCGTTCATGTTCTAGAGCACCGGAGAATCCAATAAAGGTATGTAATTACTAATTACCACATCACCTTCTTCTGTTTGTTCATCCTCTGGCTATGTATCTCAATCGAGAAGGTTTTATTTTTTATTTTTGGATTATGAAAATAGAAATAGAAAATACCTTGGATGGGAGGCAAAGACGGAAAGGTAAACACCAAGGGAAGATGAACTATGTGGAGCCATTTGGCTCGAAAAGTTCAATAGCGTTACTATCAATAAGAAAGCCACCAGATCCTCTTTTGACGGTTTCGTTATTCATCATACGCAATCCTTTTGTATAGACGTGGGGGCGGGTGGATGCTAAGATGAATACGCCTGCTGATACGCCCAAAGTCCCCGCTGCAATATGATGAGAGGCTATTCGTCCAGGAACAAACGAATCAAAACCCTCCACACCCCATGATGGATTTACGATAATGTAGTAGTTTCGGAGGTGGTGCTTCTTTTTTTAAGTTGGGAGCCAACCCCTCATTTTGACTAATGTTACCATATTCACCCTCGCCACTAACCCTATGTATCTCAAATTTGTCTACTCCTACCCTTTAAGGGTGCCATCATGACCCGATTCATCAAAGTCGATTTGAATCCAATGAAAGCTTAAAGGAAAATGTAGAACACATGCACATAGTTCTAATCGAATTGGTACACAAGGATAAAAATAGGAAATCTGGACAATGTACCTGGAGATATTCTTTTTGGTTTGTGTATAATGGAGAAAGAGGTAGAAATTTTGTGATGAATGCCAACCAATTATTTTCATATCAAGAGATTTATAAAGATCCACATTTCAAAACTTTGTTATCTATGTATTTTTGCATGTGTATAATTATATTTCTGCAATTTTCCAAAAAAGGTTATATGCCATCAGGGTGACTGTAGTCGTTCCCTATACTCCCCAATCATTCTACAAGGATGCTCACCTCTTTATCCGATAGGCTAAAACCATGGGGACTGTATAATTGTATGCTTATGATATATATATATATATATGTGTGTGTGTGTGTGTGTGTGTATATATATATATATAGGGACGGGTTCAAATGAAAACCGATTTTCGGTTGTGAACCGGGGAAAAAAGGAGTGCACGACACGTGTCTCACACCTTAAGCGCTTCACTTGTTATTCATCATGAATAATGTCTCATTCATTAAGAACGTGTATTATTCATCATGAAAATAGTGAATCAATTTAACATGGATCATGATCGTGTATCATTCATCATGAATAGTTCATGAACGTTCACCTTCGTTATTCATACTGAATGCCCTTCATTATTCATACTGAATATGGACGCCGGGGACACGTGTCGCACTCTCCTTTGTCCCCTGGTTTACAACCGAAAAATCGGTCTGTAATAGAACTTTTCCCTCTCTCTCTCTCTCTCTCTCTATATATATATATATATATATATATATATATATATATATATATATATATGAAACAGGTTGACATACCGTCAACGTCGACTGCTTTGGGCGGTAAAACTATTTATTGGGATAAATTGCAAGCCTATTTTGATTATTGTTTTGAGACAACTTCAATTGTATGCTGTTTCATCCCTTTTTTTACAATCGAAGATCTAATGAAGACATTTTGCAGGCAGTTCGGAGGATGAAAACATCTCCTTTGACTCCTCAAGAGAAAGCTCGAATAGAGGAGGTATTAATTCTTGGTATTATTTGCGCGACTTACTGAAAAAACGTAGTTATCTCATGCGATCATGCTGCTGTAAAAACTCAGGGATTAAAGATTTACAAACTCGATTGGATGGCTGTATGGAAGTACATGGTCCCACACAGAGACCCGTTATTGCTCGCTCGTCAATGGCGCACGGCTGTCGGAAACCAGAAGTCATATAAAGGAGACGAACTTACTAAGGCAAAACGGCGATTATATGAATCAAAAAGAAGAAAGTCAAAACTTGAAGGTTCAAGATTACAAACAACCGGTGCTGGTCAAAATAGGGAAGGTTGGTCAACCGAGGACGACGTGAGATGTAAAACCTTGTCTGATAAAGAGGTATGCTTTGGCATTTGCTTGGTAACTGTTCACACTGTTTACAATGCAAATCGTGTTATTCTTTCCGTCCCAAAATAAATTCCCACAATAAAAAGGGTACCGGTTTTAGAAAATTGTCATTATTACACCTTTTAATTAACTAAATAACAATTTTACCCTTAGTAATAGAGGGAGTAATGAATTTTTCCATCTCGTAGTTAAGGGTAGAAGTGGGAAGTAGGCACTTATTTTGGAACAAACTAAAAAAGAAACGTGGATGCTTATTTTATTAGAAGTAGTATTCGTAGAATTTTGCAAACTGATTTTTTGTTTCTTGAAAATATATGACAGTTGCAGAATTTCAGTACGGATAACGCTGGTGGTGACAATAACAGTGGAGATGATGGTGGAAATAACGAAGATGAAGCTTACGTCCACGAGGCGTTTTTGGCCGATTGGAGGCCGGGTCTGTCTTCAGAGTTTCCCGTCTCAAATTTGAGAGAAAACGACCCCAGGCCAGGAAATTTTCATACCCAGCATCCAAACTTTTCATCTCATCCAGTTCCTGCTAAAACCTTTAGGTCTTCTGAACCAGAAGTTCATATACGACCTTATCGAGCTCCTAGATCTGATTGTTCTCGACTAGTGAAATTAGCTCCCGACTTGCCTCCTGTAAATCTACCACCCACTGTTCGTATAATGTCGCAGTCGGCTTTTACAAAATATCGAGATGAAGCATGTAGTAAAGTGAGAGAAAATGTTGTTTCTGCAATCCCGTTAAGTCATCCAAGAATCAGTCAACTAGATGAGCGGAATCCAGTAAGATGTAGTACTAGTGGTCCAGTCGAAAAGGGCGATTCAGATCTCCAAATGCATCCTCTATTGTTTCAGGATCCCGAAGATGGGAGTTTACCATATTACCCTTTGAACGGAAGTGCTGGTTCTTCTAGTTCCTTTGATTTTTTTCCGAATAACCCCCCACAGTTAAATCTTAACCTCTTCCGTTATTCTCACCAAGCAAAAAACACCTTAAATTTCTTCAACAACCCACTGAAATCTAAGGAGTTAAGTTCGTCGGTATCTGGTGTCGACTTCCATCCACTTCTGCAAAGAACCGATGACGGAAATGGCCACTCGGGTGGTGCACCTTTAGTTCCCCAGCTACCCGCAGCTTCACTGATAGCTCATCAAAAGTCTGGTTCAACGGCTATCAATGCCATACCTCCTAGCCCTAATGAACTCGACTTGGATATCGGCTTAAGTTCTACTGCCCGGAAAGATAAACGTAGAAGCGGTCGTGAATCTGGAACCACAGATCCGCAGCCTAGCGGTTTGCAGAATCATGAAGTGGGTTTACTGGATGAAATTGTAAACGATCCTGATTCAGGTTCACGTTCGGTCGGTATTAGAAACGATGAAATCGTGATGGAACAGGAGGAGCTAAGTGACTCGGAGGATGAGGAAATTGCAGAAACTGTGGAGTTCGAGTGCGAGGAGATGACGGATACGGAAGGAGAAGGCGGTTCTGATTCTGATCACATTGAAGACGTTCAAAATGAGGTATTACTGAAAACTCCCCTAATGTCAAGTTTGAATCTTTCTTGATAGTCTTTTTATACGACCATACAATTGTGCATTCTATGTAGATGTGTTGCAATAAGTTGATAGGACGCTTCTGGGCGTCCTAACAAGTTTGTAAGGACACTTGAAATAAAGGTCATATTAGTCTTTTTATATGACATTATTTGAAGAAGACGTGTCTTATATTTGCAACTATCCTATAAAACGTGAAGTATCCTATAAACGTTCTAATAGAACACTTTATTACAAAAGTTTTATGAAAAACAGACATTGGAAACCTAAAATCATCCTATCAACTTATTGTAACACTTTTATATAGGATGCACAATTGTTTGGTCCTATAAACATAAGGGCTTTTTCGTTAGCATCTTAATGTGCTTAATGGGACTCCCAGCTTATTCAGTTAGCTATACATGACAGTTTGGTAGTGGCTTGATGATATTAAAAGTGACTTATTCAGTAAGCTTCTAGGGGGAGCTTTATGCAGAAAGCCAAATATTTTCCAAACCTACCCCTCCCAATTAAAAAACATGCTTTTTCCATCTATGAAAGAACCCTCCCAAACAAAAACTTTCGCAATCTATACAGGCAAATTAATCCACAAAGACAATTTTATCCATACAGGACTTGTTAGAAAACCAACCAAAACGGCCCCTTAAGTCATATAAAACAATCTATTAGGACGATTACACACTTTTGACATCCTATAAAGCCGATTTTGTTATACTGAGCTGGGTATAACCATCTTTTGACAAATAGGGGAAGTAATACTCAGGGTACCCTCCAAACCCTCTCCATATCAAGCACATAAAATTGTCAACGAGTAGCCTCATGTTTTTGTCCCATAACGATACTGTTAACATGATCGTTTTTAACGTAATCAGGACTTGCAAGATTTAGATGACAGTGATCAAGATGAACCAAGATGTCAAGAAACATCGAAACCCGACAGAAAAGAAGCACAAAGTTCGTTAGGATTGAGTTTAAACCCCAAACTTCCGGTGACGAGAAGTTCTCACACCAACAGATCTTCGAAGAAACCCGGAAACCGGACACGGCATCAAGATCCCAGGTGAGTATAAAATACTAACATTACAAATGTAAAGATCTATGATTGAAAGCTTGTAAATATGGATAGAAATGTCCAAAAATCAAATGGGTAGTTCCTAGTTTGTAACTATTTGGTCCTCAATTTGAGCTCTATTTTTGGCAAGTTTTTAAGGACTCCTTTGAGTTCGATAATTGCACGGTCGAGTGTGTGGGTGTGTGTTTACGAGGCTATGGATTCTTTAAGCGTCGTCATGTTGTCAGGGTGTCAAGGATACGTGAATGTAACCGTTATGCATTTGTTTAGGAGACCATAAAATTGGTTTTCTTGGTCCTTACAAGCCGGGGTGTTCACGAAAACTGTTTCTGAAAGGTCTATCAGATCCTGTATGTGTGTGGGACAGAGATGAACAAAAAAGTCCAAGCTTGAAGCCTGGTCTAGGTCTAGCCCGAGCTCGGCCCAAAAAACCCGGACCTAGTAAGCCTGAAGCCCGGTCCGAGCCAGGCCTCAAAGCCTGACTAGGCCTAAATAAAAACTGTTCCTCTTAAGGTCCATCTAATCCTGCATCAAGTGATTAATTTACATCAAGAGAACGAGTAATAGTTATTCTTACAAAATGTAAAGAGCTTCACCATCATCAATGTATTTTATTCTTGGGCAAATTGTATGAAAAAATAACGTACTTTAACATGATTTTTATTTTAGGTAACGTACTTTCAGAATTTTTATTTTGGTAACTAAGATGTAAAATTTTATACATTTAAGTATCCGGGTAATCCGTTGAAGCATTAACCGATTATCATGCTGATGTGGCGAATGATGAGTATCAAACTTAGTATTATTTGCTGATATGGATATCCTAATCTAACCGGTTAACGTCTTTAACATGTTGAACCGGTTAATGCTTCAACCGGTTATCCATATACTTAAATGTTTAAAACTTTACATATTCGGTCTCCGCGGTTTCTTCGATTCTCGTTGGGGAACCTGTTAAGGGTAAAATCATTTTTTTCACCGTTGGTTATAACCGAACCCGAAAAGTAAATTACAATTTTTTAAAGATGTAAATTTAAATGTCTGAAACATAATCGAACTAATTACAAACAATATATTGGATTACAATATAAAACTAAATAGAAATTCAAACATCATACAACTAAAATTATAATTTTAGACAAATAAACTACACTTTTTAGTGAGCTTTATTTAAGTTATTGAGGTAAAGTGGATAAAAGTCTTTTAAATTTTGATGTTACTATTTTCGTTTAATAATATTATATACATATATATATATATATATGTATATAAATTAAAATTAATATATATATATATATATACATATATATATATCGGCCGGGCCTGTGATCACCGTCCCCACTCCCGTCCCCGTTAAAATCCCGGAATTTGTCTCCGATCCCCGCCCCATCCCTAATAAGATGTCCCCGAACCTGGCCCGAAAGTTTCGGTTTTCACCATCGGTTTGGGTTTTTTTGCCATCCCTGTTTTACAATCGCTCTCATCTTTTGTATTCAAGATCGACATAACTTTTGAAGTAAAAAATTACTACAATCCATCTTTTCTCTATGTTAACGTATGTTTCGAACCTCATTTTTCCCTCCATTTCCTTGAAAAAATATCTTAACGTATGTTTTGAACCTTATCTTTTTGACAATTGCTGAATGGTTTGGTGCATAATGGCTAAGTAGTTAGAATAATTAAGAGACTTTCATGATATAATGTAAAATGAAATATAATTGTTCGGTAATTGTTTATAATAGAATTAAGACGCTGAATGGTTAAAGAAAACCCAATATATAAAATCGTTCAGAGAGATTTACCTCTTAACTATTAAAAGAAATTTTTTTAATAATCTGTGATTTTTTTTTTCTTTTCACGCAACAACAAAAAGAAAGCAATAGCTCGTGTCCATCGTCAATTTCCCAACTTGAATGCTTTCACCACGCACCATTTCACCATTAATCCGAACAAGAAATTGGGTTTCTTGATTCTATGTTTCTGAAGCTTTTCTCCACCAAAAGAATCGATCGTTTCGCACGAAGTGTTCATCTGGGTAAGAATTTCAAACACCCAAATCCCGAAGATATTATCTTTCATTCAATTTGTGTCAATTTACGGCAAAGAAAATGGAAATCGTTGGACCAAATCTCATCTTCAAATCTCACAAATTCATTATTCAATCGTGTAGTTTCAGAGTTTCGAATGTCACCAGATTTAGTTTTAGGGTTTTACAAAAGGGTTTTAGATCAAAATCGCTTTTCTCCTTCACTCCAATCTGTTTGTATCTTGATTCATGTTATGATTAATTGCAAAAGATATGATGATGCTTTAGATTTGATGAAGAAATTGCTGAAATTAATGGGTTATTCTCATTTAGAGGTTTTGGAGGGATTATGGGATAGTTATGATGATGATATATCTTCTCCTGATGTGTTTGATTCATTAATTAGGGTTTGTAGTTCTTTAGATGACACTAGTTATGCTTATGAAGTGATTATAAACTTGAAAATCGAAAAGGGTTTTCGTGTTTCGGTTCATGCTTGGAACAATTTTCTGAATCATGTTCTGAAATCCGATTCGGTAGACGGGTTTTTCAGAAAGTATGAAGAAATGATCTCTTATGGGTATGTAGAGAATGTGTATACATTCAATTTGGTTCTTTATGCCCTTTGTAAAGATATGCGTTTATACGAAGCCATCGGTGTGTTTTACCGAATGTTGAAAGGTGGAATATATCCGAATGTGGTTACTTTCAATATGATCATCGATGGCGCTTGTAAAATGGGTGATCTTGATTTGGGGTTAAAGTTGTTTAGGAAGATGGGAATGATGTCGATTGGGTTCATTAGACCTAATTCGGTCACGTTTAACTCTCTCATTAACGGGTATTGCAAATTAGGAGATATGAAAACAGCGGAAATCATTAGGGATGAAATGACGAAAATGGGTATTGAACCGAATGTAAGAACGTATGCAACTTTAGTTGACGGGTATTTGAGAAAAGGATGTATAGAAGAAGCGATTAGATTATGTTCTCATATGGTCGATAAAGATTTAGTTCCCAATGTTGTTGTTTACAATTCTATCATTCATTCGCTTTACTCTAAAGGAGACACCATCATGGCTTCGGTTTTCTTGTCGTATATGATCAAAACCAACATCCCGTTTGACAAATTCACCGATTCTATATTGGTTAAAGGGTTATCAAGGAACGGGTTCTTGAAAGAAGCTCTAGATTACCATAAATGGCTTGTGAGCAAGAATCTTGAAAGTAAAGATGGTTTCTTGGAGAATACCCTTATCTATTATCTCGTTAGAAGTGGCAAAGATTCGAAACCGATGATCAAAGAAGTTCTTGACGAGATCTCTGATCGCGGGTTCACCCCAGATATCGTCACATACGGTACTATGATTGATGCATTCTGTAAACAAGAGAGAATGCTAGATGCAGTTTGTGCTTATGAAGATATGATAAAGATGGGCAAGAAACCGAACTTAATGATCTATAATTCGATCGTAAATGGTCTATCGAAGAATCTTTCTGTGGATTTAGCCAAGATTATGATGGATGAGATGAAGAAAGTAGGTTTAGTTGACGTTGTGAGTTTAAACAGTTTATTAAACGGGTATTTTGCGAATTCGAAGGTTAACGAAGCATTGAATCTGTTTCTGCAAATGCAAGAAGACGGAAGATTAGTGAATGTGGTTAGCTACAATATAATCTTGAAGTTTGTCTGCAAATTTGGTTCGATTCAAGAAGCGAAGGAAGTTATCGAGATGATGGTGGCTCGTGGGGTGAGTCCGGATTCTGTTTCGTATTCGATTCTTGTTGGTAATGCTTTCAGGAAGTGTAGTTTGGAGGAAGTGATCGGATTGCATGACGATATGGTGATCAAAGGAGTGATTCCTGATGATCAAACGTACGATTCCGCTTTCGGTTCGGTCGTTTGTGAAGAAAGTCGCGATCTTTCTTCGGGTTCGATTAGGGATTGAATGTATATATATAACTAAAATGCAGAGATGTAACTTTGGTTCCATTTTATTGAAAAAGTTTGTTTCTTTATGGTCAATTTGTGGGCAAATCTTTCACCAAAATGGTTAATTGGGAGATTGGTGATGAGTATATGTGTGTCAAATTGTCAATTTGGTTGTTTGTTTATCATTTTAAGAGGCAACATCTGAATTGTTAAGAGGTGAATCTTGTTTGGGAAAAAAAAAAGTCTGTCTCTTGATAGTTTTAAAATCCTTTGAATGATTTTGTATCATGTGTCTTCCTTAACCATTCAACGCCCTAATTTCGTTGTAAATAATTACCAAACAAATATATTTCATTTTGCACTATATCATGACAGTCTCTTGATCATTCTGACCACTTAATCCTTCTGCACCAAACCATTCAGTAACGGCCAAACAGTCCCTTAGAGTCTTATAATACCACTGAGGAGTTTTCTGGCTGTTATTTTCTGGGTCTTGTGAGATTAGTTTAAGATGCAAGCAAGTTGGCTTAGATACCAACGATTATGAAAATACGAGTACGTTACCATTTTCATCCATGTGGTTTGTTAAAGATTGCAAATTTTTGTACTTTGGTTTAGAAATTGTGGTTTTCGTTTATATGGTTTGTAATTTATTGTTATTTTTATTCTTATGATTTACAATTTATTGTTCCTCATTGGATTTGAACCAGGGATCTCCTGATACTTTTTATCTATGCACCCGTAGTGTAATGTATTCGGAATTCAAATCAACAGGTTACCTATTCTTATAATGAGTAGATTTTTTGAAACATTATGTATTAATAATAAATAATTTAAAAATACAATATTGCAATTAAAAGAAATAAAATAAATACAATACATAAATAAATAAAGCGAGAAAATGACCAAGTTTTTTCATATTTATTAAAATAACAAGATAAAATCGTGAAAGGAATTCGTCATTGACGAAATGACACGTGTCATTCTATTATTGGTTGACGATTTCAAGAAATCACAGCGAAACCTCACAATTTGATGATCTGCATGGATTTCTTCCGGTTGTAAGAAAGTGGATCCTACCTCTAACATTAGTAGGAAAATCGTCAATGCGGGTTCTGTTTTATACTCATAAGAAGATAATAGATTTAAGGGCAAATTGCATGAAAAAAATAACGCACTTTAACTTGATTCATATTTTGAGTAACATACTTTCAAAACTTTCATTATGGTACTTAAGATATAAAGTTTTAAACATTTAAGTACCCGGATAACCGGTTGAAGTTTAATTTTAGATTATAATAAAGACTAATTTTTTATTAAAAAAATCCACATCACTAACCACGTCAGCATGATAACCGGTTAATGTTTCAACCCTTTACCCGGATACTTAAATGTTTAAAATTTTACATCTTAGGTATAAAAATGAAAGTTTTGAAAGTACGTTACCCAAAATAGGAATCAAGTTAAAGTACACTACTTTTTTCATACAACTTGCTCTACATCTAATTAAAATCTTATTTAAGGTTATATACCTAAAAAATCTCATGTTAAGAGTCCCACATAATCCAGACTTGGACCATTTATTTTCCATATGCACCAGAAGTTTCATCCTCTCCTTAGAAACACTGCTGGAGAGCAATTTAATGGAATTCCACACTGCTGAAAAAAAAAGTCTGCCTCTTAATGGTTTTCTAAAACCATCTAAAGTTTGTATCATGTACATCTCTTAACCATTCAACGCCCTAATTCTATTGTAAACAATTATCGAATAGTTAAATTTCATTTTGCACTATATTATAAGAGTTCTCTTAATAATTCTGACCACTTAATATTTTATACCAAACCATTCAGCAACTACCAAACAATCGATAAAAGCTTATTCATATATATATATGTATTCAAATACACAAATTTCATTTGCTTGGAAGCAGTATTATCATTACATTGCAATTAATTCCAAAAAAAAAAATGGAGATATAATCCTATGCATATATATATATATGTATGATCGATCGTCGAATAACAACACAGATAAACATAGGATCAAGAACTATACCGATTCCGATCAAACTAACGCGTCAGCTCCGGCGACAATCTCCAATATCTCGCCGGTAATCTTCGCCTGACGCTGCCGGTTATACACCCTAGACAAATTCTTCTTCAACTCCACCGCGTTATCCGTCGCGTTCCCCATCGCCGTCATCCTCGCCGCTAGCTCACTCGCCAACGATTCCTGCAATGCCCTCAAAATCTGACTGTTTAAATACAACGGCAGCAAAGCATCAAGAATCTGAACTGGGTCTTGCTCGAATTGCAAAATAGGTGAAAAATCCATCGTTTCGGTGCGTACAACGTCGCGTTCGACGGTCAGTTTTCCTTCTTTGGTGGTCAGCCGGAAAAACTCATCCTCCGCCGCGTCAACGCAGATTCCGTTGATGTCACAGATCTCTCCTTTCGGCGATAATGGCAGCAAAGTATGAATCACGGGATCGGATTTCACTAAAGATACAAACTTTGTGTACAGAAGTTCGACTTTATCGACTTCTTCACTCACAAAGAGTGAAAACACATCGTCGGCGATGGCCTGAGCTTCTTTCGCCGTCGGTAAGTTGCTGCCGTCGAGATACTTATCCAACGGAATGTAGGGTCGCCGGAGGAAATAAGTGTTACCCTTTTTGCCGACGCTAATGACGGTGAACTCAAGTCCAAGAGTTTTAAGTTCTCGAATTCTTGCTTCCGCTTTCTTCAAGATCGCATTGTTGAACCCACCGCAGAGACCACGGTCGCCGGTTATCACCACCAGCGCCACCTTCTTCACCGGCCGGACACTGGTGAGCGGGACGTCGACGTCTTCCGTTTGAAGTTGTTCATTGATGCTGTAAAGAACTTCAACTAGGGTTTCCGAGAAGGGTCTTGCATTCACCACGGCTTCTTGAGCTCGCCGGACCTTTGCGGCGGCGACGAGCTTCATTGCTTCCGTGATCTTCTTGGTGTTGGTGACGGAATCTATACGGTTGCGAAGCTCCCGGAGACTGCAATGGACTGAAGACGATGAAGATTTCGAAGAATTCGAGGGATTCGAAGATGGGATTTGAAGTGGGTTGATGAAAGATGATCGGAAAGAAAGGGATGATGAATCGAGAGTGGAGGGTTTTGAAGACACCCACATTGTTGTTAGATTGGAGCAAGACATGATGATTGATTAGGGTTCTTGAGGAACTCAACAATGGAGTTCAACAATGGAGGTGAAGGGAGAGTTTTAGTCAAGTTTCTTGATAAAAATCTTATCTTTTTGTTGTATGGTGGATTGTTAATGTGAGAATTTGGAGTTTGGATGAGGTTTTTGAGTGGATGGAGATGAAGATGATGATATATGTATGGATGAGGGGTTATCAAATAGACCCCACAAGATTCTTGTTTTTTTTTTTTTTTTTGGCAAATGGAATGTAAAGTACAACTTAAATTGCATGATGTACAAGTGTCTTAGCTTGCGTACGTTTCGACTAATTTTAGGTTCCGTAGAACGGTCAAGAAAATGTCCAGTGGCCTTGTAGGAACTGAAACGGTGACCTCTGGAAGAGAGGGTCGTCTGAATCTTTTTAGAGGTCGTGTTACATGCGTAGTAAAACTATATGTCGTATGAAATAAGTAATAAACAAAGTGAAATATGAAATTTAATGTCGTATTAGAAATCATAGAAATTAAAACAACAAAAACGTTTAAAATGACAAAGTGGGAAGAAATTAATATAAGATAGTCGTTTTTGTTTTTTGATGGGCAAATTCTGAAATCAAGAAACTAAGACAAGATTGATAAATTATGAAATCACTGATTCTTGTACGATTCATCCATTCGTCTTCTTCATTCCCGTTCGTACAGTTCTGTTTGCGTACCAAACGCACCATGCAATTTTGAACAAAAACTATGCAAAGTACAACTTAACATGCATGACATACAAGTTTGTGCAGAAACTTGTATACATGCTTCAAGTTGATGCAATTGTACAACATATGATGCATATGGTACAATAAGCAATTTGACCATTTGAAAGGATATACTCCTTTTATTCTATAATAATATTCTAACAAGGAAAACCACATAAATATAAGGGTATTCCTCAAGATGATTGGAACATAAAGAAACCAACAAAATCTTGACTAGACGGGTACAGATTATTCCTAACGTAGTAGATCTTGGCTATGATATCATGTGAGAATATGTGAAATCTCATTAATTTACTCTCCAACAGAGTTTTTGTGGAGAGACTGAAAGTTCCAGTATGTATGGTAAATAAATGGTCAACGTCTAGCCTATGTGAGACTCCAATATACCCCCTCCAAACAAGGTTAGATGGGCACATAAGGTTTTAAAGTGTCAGCCTGTCAGGTCACTAAAGTGGTAGACTATGACTCTGATACCATGTGAGAATACGTGTAATATCATTAGATGACTCTCCAGGAGAACTGTTTAGGAGAACAGAGATGTTTCCACATACATGGAAGATAAATAATCCAAGTTTAGCCGGTGTGAAACTCTAACATGAACTGCAACGGTTTTCTTGACGTGAAACATGATGACATTCAGCGAGCTCGTGATCGAATTTCATGGTTTATCTATTGGAAATTGACGTTGTTTGATGAGCTTGTGGTTGAGCTGTTATTGTTTTTGTGAGATATGTGAGACGATATCATATTACTTTACAAAAATAGTTATCAAGGAAACAAGGAAGGTCCCAACGTAAAGTAGAAAGGTCCGAGGTTGCATTATTACAAAGTTAGGTTTATTTGACGTCAAAATTGTCTAAGCGTCCCAATAAATCGTTTTGTAGGACATAAATTTATATGACAAAACGTTAAAGTATCCCATCTAGAGGTGTTGCAATAGGTTTATAGGACGCTTTTGAGCGTATTAACAAGTTTTTTATAGGCACTTCGAAAATATAGTGTCGTATTCGCTATTTTATAGAACACTTTTGAGAAATGTCCTATAAACACATGTTTTATAGGACACTAGTTTTTATAAGATAATTTTTCTAAGTGTCTTAAAAAATTTGTCAAGACGTCCCAAAACGTCTTATAAACCTATTACAACACCTTTAGCTATGGCAGTTTAACGTTTAGTCATATAAACTTATATCCTATAAAACAGTATATTGGTATAATTTTGACGTCCTATAAACTCAATTTTGTTGCAGTGTTGTTTTCTTGACTTGGAACGTGGAACGTGATGTCACCGTCAGCTTTTGATTGAGCTCTGATGGTTTTCTTGACTCAAATTCGAAGCCATCCATCGGGCTTGTGTTTGAGTTCCAATGGTTTACGTGATCTGATTTGCATAAAAGACAAAATACGAGTCTGTTACAGTATTCATTTATCAAGACCTAATGTCACCAATAGCATCACGAAATAACTGGTCATGCGGGTATAACCCAGAGATAAAGATCAAACACTATAATTGGCACGATTTGTATAAACTCATTTTGTAACGCCAATATATAGAGACTAATTCTCCCAAAAGTGCCTCTACCGGCATCAAATCACTTCTCTCAAGACTTCGGAGCCCTACCGCTATGAGAATCTGATATACATGTCATTTTAAGGGGAAAAAAATGATATTTATGTACCTAAAATACAATTTAACGACACATATTTAAAGATCTAATATTTATTAGCAAAAAGGGTAAACCCCCACAAAATCCCAAAAATTAACCAAAATACACAAATATGTGAAATATATCAAAAGAAACATTTCAAGAGACTAAAATAAAGCATTTTGACATGTATAAAGTTTAAAACGACAGAATGAACTCACAAATGGGTTTTTAAGAAAACCCTGAAACTAAGGTGCCGTTTACCAAACACTTACTCGGGTAAGAGCTTACCAAGTCACTTTATTTTACCGGATGAATATTGCAAGGACTAAAAATCTTACCCGGTAAGAACAAAGGCAAGAATTGAGAGTCTTACCCGGTAAGTGAGGACGGGCACTTTTACCATGGTTAGCGCTTACCGGGATAAATTGTTGCATACGATGCATTGTAGTGAATAAAATCTTACCCGATAAGTAAACGATAGTGTTGGAATAAAATATTACGAGCGATTACATTTTGTCAAAACTAAATCAAGATTACATGGACAATCTCCATTGGGCCTTGGCCTTATCTTATTTGGGCCCATTTCCATTTAGTTCTTTCTTTTGGGCTAAGCCCAACATAAGGTAAAAGGTACCTTCTGTATGACGAGTAGGGGGATTTTGGTATCTTATATTAGACAGGACTAGTGATGGCCAAAAACCGGTCCTGAGTCGGTCCCAACCTCTCCTAGATTTTTCATAACCGGTCCTAGTCCCGCTCAAAAAAGTTGAGCCCGGTCAAGCTTTCTTGTAACCGGTTATGGGCCGCCAGTCCCGGTCCCAACCGGTCCCGGACTCCCGGTCATTAAAAAATATTTTTTAATGATATATATTTTTAATACATTATAAAATTTGTAATTGGTTGATTCAAATACACTTTAAAAATACGTTTTATTATAATTAAAATTACATTGTCTTACAAAATATAGCGAGAAACCGATAATTGTGAACGTTTTTTTTGTGTTTTTTGCAAATCGAAAACTTGATATGTAAATCTCTCAACCAAGACACTTATATATAGTGTTTATAAAGGAAAAAAATACAAAAAAGGGCCAAAAAGGGCTACATTTAAAAAAAAATAGTTACATTTTTTAAAAATAAGGCCGGGTCGGTCCCGGTCCCGCGAAACACCCCAAATCCATAACCAGTCCCAGATTTCGGTCCTATAACCGGTCCTGGGCCGGGCTGGGCCGGTTTGGCCATCACTAGACAGGACAGAACAATATAGAATATAACATAACATAATAGAATATTACATGATAACTATTCAACGTTTGGTAAGATAGTGACATGACTGATAAAAGGGCAAATTGCAATAAAAAGTAATGTACTTTCATCTGATTCCTATTTTGGGTAACATACTTTTAAAACCTTTATTTTGGTACCTCAATTGTAAAATATCAATCTTTTAAGTACCTGGTCAATCTGATGACTTACAAATGTTGACTAGGATCAGGTTTTTATTGATGTGGCATTGTTTATTTATTTTATCAATGCCAACTAAGAAAAAAAATCCATGTCATTTTTAATTTTTTTAGATTTATGTATTTTTTTCAATAAAGGAAAATTCCACATCATTTTTTTTTAAATTTGTATTTTTTTTCAATTAAAAAATTCATGTCATTCTTTTAACTTTATTATTTTGTGAACTACGTAATTTTCAATTAAGAAAAATTACATCTTTAGGCCTATTATTTGTTTAAATTTTAATTAACTAAACAAGACCAAATAATAAAAACATTTATAATAATGGCTAAACATCTGATAAGTTAATTAACAAAAATATTCCA